TGGTGGGGTTGGAAAGTAGATTCAATTACCTTTAATTGGATAGGTTATGGCTCACGTAACTCTTAATATTCTAAGAGATATGGTCGTTTAAAGTTGACCTAAGCAGAATCTTACTTCAAAACTTAATGAAACTTCAAGAACACTTATCAAGAACTCATCAAGAACTCTAATCTTTAAATTTCAAGAACGAAATTACGCTGAATAAATCATGATTGGCATGTGGGTGAAAGAACCCAACACTATGGAAGCTTACATACCTCTTAGGGATCAAACCCATGGCGACAATCCGCAATAACTCTCAAGAACGTCGACGAACGCCTTCATCATTTCCTCTTTTCTCCTCTTCTCTCTTCTTTTCGGTTCTTCAACTCTCAACTAAAACCCTAGGCGTAAACTAGGATTATAAAACTGAACCTAATCAAATTAGACCCTTAAAATATTACTAAAAACCAATTAAATCTGATTGGGTAAGGAAAAGACCAAAATACCCCTCTCTATTTTCGGCTAATTTTCCTTAACTGGGAAGCCTAACTTCAAAAGGCCATATCTCACTCATCCGACCTCTAAACTTAGCAAACTCGGCGGCGTTGGAAAGATAATTCACAGTTCTTTCCTACGGTATCTGGTAGCACACCTAACTCATCCTGAGCTAGGAGTTATGGTCATTTGAAGTCGACCCAAAACTCATACTTAAGCATAACTTGCAAAATTTTAGATTTTGCTATTTCCAATTTAATTCTTTTTGAAACTCAAGGTGTTACATCTAGTGACCTTAACACTTAAGAAATTTTTTATGTCTTGGCAAAATCTCATGCACTACGATGAACGGTTCGAGTCTTAGTTAGAAAAAATTTCTGGGGTGTTGCAGTATGTCTGCCACTTTAAAGATTAAAGGTTGTGTATCCATTAAATAATATTATGGAGGACTAAGAGCAAAGGTCAACTATATATTATCTCTTGATAATGAGTGCTTTTTTGGGGGATAATATAATGATTGGGTTAATGCTAGTTAATTTGTCAGTGTGAATATAGATTAAGATATCATTACTAAATAATTAGGATCGTTTATTTTCTCAAAATTTAAATTTATAAAATTTATCTTTATTGAAAATAAGTAATACAAATGATTGACAATAGTGATAATGGCTAATAATAGTAATCGTGGACTAATTATTGTTTAATTAGTGCATTTTGCCTTTTTTGAGGGCCTTGAGATCAGCATAATACTTTGTTATCCATCCTTCAATTATTTTAACTTCTGTGTTCCTTTGCATGGTTAGCCATTCTGGATCAGATGAGTCTTTAGAAAGAATGTCTAGACAATGGGAACCTACCAAAAAAAAAAGAAAAAAAAAAGAGAAGAAATTAGAGTTGACATGTATATTTACTAGAAAAAAAGTTTTTATTTGTTATTCACCCGGCATTCGATATTCATTTCGATTAATCTGGATTCATGCGTTTGCACATTAAAGGGGAAAGCGCTTGCGTAAAGCTTACAAAAGTAGCCACTTTTCAGCTCTTGTGACTTAACGTTAGTTATTGTAATTGAATTTCACCTGTGAAATTTTTGAAACTTTATGACAATAGCTAATTTTCAAAGACACGGCCAAAAAGTAGCCAGTAGGTGTTGTTTCTACGAAGCTCTTGCTCTTTGGATTATTTTTATGAACCTCTAAAATCTCTTATTAAGGGTCGGAAGGGTTCTATCAATTTCATCATGACCTTCGATTATTTACACGAGATATTAAAAAAAAAAAAATTAATTATCTTATATATAAGTAATCTGATGATGAAGTAAATGTCGTTTTCACATAATTGTAAATATTGGCATACCGTTACGTGTGTGGACAGCTTGTAGACTATGAGATATGTCTTGCAAAACCCTAAAATAGAAAAAAAAAAATTGATGTAAGAATAAATAAATAAAACCAAATAGAAAAAAGGAAAAAGAAAATTGTGTGGGGGTGGGGTCATGTACATACCCTGCACTACTATAAGGATCTCTTAGCCCATTAGAGAAAATAATATTGCTAGCAAACCTTTGAAGAATTAATTTTATGTCCTGCAAAATTCACTCATTTAGTAAGTTCACAAATCTAATATAGCATAAGAAAAAGTAATATGACAAAATAAGCATAATGAAAGATTGTTGTAAGAGGTTGAGGTTTCGGGTTCGTGTCTCGATAAGAAAGAAGTCAGCTTCGATAGAAAGTATTTTATTCTTAAAGTAGAATTGTTCGATTATGTCGTTCAAACTTTTCAAAAATATTGTTAGATGACTCACATCTCAGATTCTTAAATAATGCACTACACATCCATCGTCATTACGTAATCGTATAGTTTTTCGACATGAATTCGAATTAATTAAATATTCCCCAAAACAAGTACCGCGCCTTAAACATAAGTGACTTTTTATAAAAATCTTTATATATATATATAACTGACACACGTGCATGCACAATATGTATATGCGCTCGCTCACTCTCACATGCACTACATATGTTATACGATTGCATGTGTATCATCACGTATATAATTATATATCGGATGGAAAATAAAATAAAAATGAGATTATCATTATGATAATTAATAAATTAAATTTAGTATGAGAAAGAAGTATGTACTTTTCCTCCATAATAAGTTGTGATCCAATGTGGACGAGGTGAGACACCATACTTCTTCTTGCAATCTGTTATGAAATTATTCAAATTGAAAGGAGCTGAAAAGAACATTGTGTCATTTTCCCCACGCCCTATAGGCATCACCATCTCACTGCATGTCTACAAAATAATAAAATGAGTAAATTTGTTTGTATCTTGATTATTTCATTACATATAGTATATACTTATTACCTCTTATATATTAACACGTACGATAACGAATAATTCTGACTATTATTAAGACAGATAAAAGAAGACATTTGTTGTATTTGGTGGGATATAAATTCCTGATCTTCAAGGTTTACATCCATTTCATTGATCTCCAGACTACAGACTCTTAGGTCCATACTATCAACTGCCTATTATTAGCTCCCACCAAATATTAGATAATACTATTCATCAAAATTTACACAAATAAAAAAAATCGTCAAATATTTTTATTTCTACTTAAATTTGGACAATGTTATCCAAAGTTTTCCCCATCGACTTAATTGATCACTCTAAGCCACACTCTTATAAGACCTTAGGTACTCATAATCAGGTACATACTACCTCCCATCATCGGTGTCGAGCAATTCCGACCCCATCAAGACTTTAGCATATGGAGAAAAAACCACCTACTATATTTTTTTGTTTTAGCTGTGATTTGAACCCTATATCTCCAAAGTCATGAGTATTCATGTTAAATTGACCACTATGTCAAATTCTCATGTGTTCACGATCCCTTATAAAGTAATTACAAATATATTTAATTAATAATTTGATAAAAATAGTAACTTTACCTATTATATCCCAATACAGTGTATGTAAACTATATTTTAATACAATCAGTATACATAACTTAAATTCTCGATTAAATTAGTGTTTATTAATATAAAACTTACTTGCCATCTCCATCCCAAACCTGTTTCACTAGGCTTGGGGTTCATGTTGTAACAAGATGAAGTTCCACTATATGCAACAATTCCAGCAAAAATTCTATCAAGAATATGACTTCCTTTTGGTGCACCATCAATTCCACCACAAACTATTGTTACTGGGTAACTTGGTGGGCTGTTATACTGAGCAGCCACTGAATACATTGAATCCAAATAATCCTTCAACTCAAATGGATCATTCAACTTCCTATAAAAACAAGAAATCAAGACTAGATAAATATAGAAATAAAAATAAGATTTAAAAAAAAAATTACACTAAAACAGATAAAAGTGATTTGATGATGAATTACTCAAGTGAGATTTGTAACTTTGAGTATAAGACATGTGTATATGCTATCATAGATACAATTGACCTAATGTAAAAATTACTTACATTGACGATGCATGCATATATATAATTTTTTGCAAAGAAAGTTCTTATACTATTCGTTCATTTAAAGGATAGGTATCGATTAAAACTATAAAATTTCTAATCATGAAAATAAAACAAATTGCATGCTACAATAGATAAAGATAATTTGATAGTATAATTTTTTTCGTCTAGAAAAAAATATACAATCATAATATTAATACTGATTACTTTACACCGAGTACATATGTCATTAAATTAGCCAAAAGATATTTATATGTAAATAAAAAATATATATTTACTAAGATAAATAAAAATAACATAATAATATAAATTTTTTGATAATATATATAACTTAAACTCTTACGAACACGTCTTGAATTTTCGACTGAGATAGGAGAGTCCACTTTTTCTAGAAGCAATCTTGTCAATTATTGCCCATGAGTTTCTTATAGTATGGTAACAACTCTTACTAGCTTCCTGAAATAATTATAAAATTAATTAACCTGTTAGTTAAAAATAAAAATAAATAAATAAAGGACTTATTAAAAGTTTAAAAAATTAAATTAAATAGATTTCTTACTTTAAAATCCCTTGACACAACTGAATAATATCCATTTTGTGGAGTGATATTATCAAAATAAAGAATTGGAGCTGATGAAGCTAAAGCACCAAGAGCTATATGTGGATACTTCATTCTAAACCAAGAAGCAAGCACTACAAAATAAAATAAAATAAAATAAATTAGAGAAAAAGTTTTGATAAAATTCAACTTTAAGGGTGTGTTTGGTATGAAAGAAAAAATATTTTTTTTCTCTAAAAAATATATTTATTTATTTATTTTAAAAAAATAGATTTTCTTATTTATTTTCTTGTATTTCAGTACATAAGTAAAATATAATATTCCTCCCGTTCAATTTGTTTGATCTATTATTCTTTTTAGTACATTTAAAAAAGAACTATAATCCTTACCTTTTATTAACGACTCTTTAATTTCAACGTTCCACGTGACATATTTAAAATTATAAGATTCAAAAAATTCTTTATTTTCTTAAACTCCGTATCAAATCAAAATAAACCATACAAATTGAAACGAAGAGAATATCCTAAAAGTATTTGTATATAATATAGACAAATATTATGGTGTGGAGTGAGGGTAAGGTTGTGTGCGGTAGTCAAGAGCGGACCCACGTTGAGGGTATCGGGTGCTCGAGCACCCATTGACTCCGACGGAAATTTGTATATGTTCATTGAAAATATTGAAAAGTTGATATAATTAATTCTTGAGCACCCATTAACCAATGGGCGCGCTTTGGTTCTCAGATGCAAGGTAAGGCTTGCGCTAACGACCTAAGTGTGAGGGTTAGAGTCCCAGTGAAGGTTTTTTTTTTTTTTTTTTTACATTTTTACTCTTCTATAAATCTTTTCACTGCTATATGTTTACTTTTTTTTTCTTCTACGCTAATTGCTAAAGTTAGTGAACACCCATAACCTTCAAATCCTTGATTCTCCATTGGTGATAGTGGGGTAGAAAAATGAGGTGTGTTGGAGGTAGGAATGACGACAGAATCAATATGGACTATCACTTGTGAAATTTATTTATCCTACTTAAAAAGTTCTGACCAACACAACAAGAAAAATTTTAAAAGTATTTTCTGAAAAATATTTTTTCCATACCGAACACATCCTAAATTACCTTTTTTTTTTAAAAAGAAAATTAAGAAGGGGATATCCTTTTTCCTTACTTCCTCCATAGGATCCTCCAATGACAATAATTGGAGAATTTTTTGCTGAATATTTTTCTTTAATATGTAACAAAAGTTCTGCATAATCAGCTATAGCTTGTGCTGAATTGAAATATCCTCTAGTATCTTCATCTTTTACAGCTTCTTCCATTGTCTTAAATGGTGTTGATTCTCCATAATACCTATGCTGGAAAATAGTTTGCCAAAAATTTTAACATAACATATAGCTAACATAGCATATATAATGACAGAAGTTAAAGAAGATTCAAAATCTACGATATATTCTTAATAAATAAATGATCTTGAGGACAAGAAAATACCATCATAGTATTTGGACTCAATTATGAATTTTTGACTATATTCTATTATAGCTCACTGATCGAGTGCTCTTACACTAATGATGAACATATATTTTGAAGTTGAAACATGAAACATAAAAAACTGAGTTTTTTAAGTTGTGTTTTTGGAATTTGAAATTGTGTTTCGACATTATTTTACTTTAAAAAAATTGAAGTTTTTTCAGATTTTCAAAAACTGGTCAAATTACATGATCAAACAAATATTTAAAGATAAATTTTCAAAATCTACTCTTAAAATTTATGGCCAAACGCAAATTAAGTTTTAGTTAACAAAAAAACATGACAAAACAAAGTAAAATGAGTTGGTAGTTTTAATTGATACATATACTTGATGGAATATAATTAATGAATTTAATTACCTCCATGTAAACAAGAAGAGCCTTAAATTGAGGTGCAAAATCAGTGAGAAATCCAACACCAAGAGGGTCTCCATCAATAGAAGATTCAGCACCAAGATAGGCAAAAATTGGAGAACTTGAATTGGAACCACCCCAATACTTAGAATTAATTATATACCTTTGTTTAAAAGTTGAATAACTTTTTGGTCCATAATTAAAATGATCAAGTGTTTGTTTATAGTAGTAAGTCTCAAATTCTTTTGGAAGATCATCATTTGTTGAAGAAGAAAAGGTATTAGAATGATCTTGAAGTATATTTTGAATAAGTGGTGTTAGTCTTGGGATTTTATGAGGTTTTGAAAAAATTAATGATGTTTTTGTGAAGATCAATAAAAGAAGCCATTGAAATAAGAAAAGGTTATTCATCTTCATTGCAAAAAATAAAAAGGACTTTGGTAAAGAAAAATAATGGTTCTTGGTGATTCTATGTATCTTATTGTGGATGTATTTATAAGTATTGTTGATAGTAAAATATAAAGTATAAGAATAATATTTGAAATTATTTATATCTATTACTTCCTTGGTTTAAAAAAGAATGACCTCCTTTCCTTTTTAGTTAATTTAAAAAAGAATGACCTCTTTCTTTTTTTGGTAACATTTTAATTTCAGCTTTCCACGTGACATGTTTAAGGCCACAAGATTAAAGGGCAATTTTGTACATTTGACATAACTTTAATTTAGGACCACAAGATTCAAAAGTCTTCTTTATTTTCTTAAACTCCGTGTCAAAGTCAAACTAGACCATTCTTTTTGAAACGGAAAGAGTATTAAAGATGGTCAAAAATAATTTATTACAAATTATTATCTTATACTATTTTAGACTTATTAATACTTCTTTTATCCACTTTTATTTGTCATGTTGTGTTTTTAGTTGTCCATTATTGATTTGACACAACCCTTAAGAAACTATAAATAGAAGGGTAATTTTACTATATCACCCTTTGAATATAATAAATTTAATGTCTTGAAAAATGTAATAAGGAAATGGCTATAATTAATGATAGGAGTAAATTAGGAACTAAATGTAAAATTATCCATTTATTTCATAAAGTGGACAAGTATTGTTGGATATCTCAAAATAGTATAGTGGACAATTATTGTTGGACGGAGGGAGTAATTATTTATTAGTTTTCCTAGATTGGTTACTCTATCAAGGGTATAATAGGAAGAATATAGTAACTTATGTATTGATTTTATGAAATAACAAGTATTATGGTTCAACTATTTATAGAAAGGGATGACAAATAAAAACAAAACGGAGGAAATTATATCTTATTGTTGATATATTTATAAGTGTTTCACTTTATACCATGTGATGCATGATTCAATAATTTATCTAACAAATTTCTTTCATTGTTTTTCTCTTAATCATTATTCGGTATTTGTTCGAAAGCTTGATTCATCTGAATTCGTTGTTTCTGTAGCTAAGATCCATTAAAAGAGAATACCTTTCTCTATTAGGATTCTGTCATAATTAAGACCTACTAATCTAGATTCACGATATTTGAGGTCCATTAAGAGGTTCGGAAAAACTCTTTATCTATCAAAATTTTGCCTCTAGACAGGTCTAAATTCGGGACATATAATTATGGATTAAACTCATAAATAACCATTCATCAACCCATATAATTAAAAAATATTCAATATCATAGAATGAAAAGAGAGTCTTTTGGAAACATCCCCTTTATTTTGGGGATTTTTTTTCCTTTATTCCAAAAATAAATGTAAACTCTACGTATATTTTATCCTATCTTATTTATGGAAAATATGTATCCATTATCATAGAATTGGACTCTAATGTGGAAAAATTAAATATTTTTGGTCTCTGAAAAACTTGGTCAAAGATGTTATACTTATGGTTAAGTGCATTTTTTCTAAAAATAAAAAAGATTCCTTTTTTTTTTTGCAAAAAAAAGATGACTTTAAATCATGAATCACATATTGTGCCCTTTTATGACCACTCTTCCAGTTTCATTGAGTAAAGCTAAGAGACTTTTTATGAAATTTTATCATTACTATATATAACTGACTGGTTGTTATAATAATTTGGCTTTATTAGACACAATTAGTATGCCACTGCAATTTGGAGGAGAAACAAAAGATTTTAGACAAAAGAATAATAAACTTTTTTTTAAAAAAAAATAGAAAATTCTTCATCCATACGTAAAAATATATCGATCTTGAAATAATAACGACTAATTATTAATTTTAAAACCCAAAATAAATAAGTTTACTTTTTCTTCAACCTTCCACGTGAATAATAACGACTAATTATTAATTTTAAAACCCAAAATAAATAAGTTTACTTTTTCTTCAACCTTCCACGTGAATAATAACGACTAATTATTAATTTTAAAACCCAAAATAAATAAGTTTACTTTTTCTTCAACCTTCCACGTGAATATATACTTGATCAATTAATATAGAACAGAGTGAGTATATACTCAACCACTTGCAATTTTATCATGATTAGGGAATGTATGTCTCCCACTTTACAAATTAAAGGTTGTGTATCCATTAAATATTATGGAGGACTAAGAGCAAAGCTCAACTATATATTATCTCTTGATAATGAGTGCTTTTTGGGGGGGTAATATAATGAGTGGGTTAATGCTAGTTAATTTGTCAGTGTGAATATATATTAAGATATCATTACTAAATAGGGTAATGCTAAATGGCAAGAAAATTTGGTCAGAATTTGGCCAGAAATTTAAAAAATCTATAATATCCTTTTTATTTTAAAATAAATTGATCTTTTTTCCATTTTTTAATTAAAAGGTATTAAAGTTAAAAGGGTAAAAATGTTCAAAAAGGTAAAATAACATAGTGTAAAATATGTTATTTTACCATTCTGACCAAATTTTCTGGCCAAAAGGATTTTTCCTACTAAAATAATTAGGATCGTTTATTTTCTCAAAATTTAAATATATAAAATCTATCTTTATTGAAAATAAGTAATACAAATTTTAATAAATATTAATTAATCTAATACTATAGTATTTTTGTATGTATTCTTGAAGGCACACCTCTTATTCAAGAGAATTCAGTAAAACATCTTTAATTTGATAAAATTATTCACGTTGCATTGAGTATTTGAGTTAATAAACCGTATGCTCTATAGCGAAACATTAAGTAAATAGATTTTTTTTTTATAAATGATCGACAATAGTGATAATGGCTAATAATAGTAAAATCGTTGATTTTGACTGACGATAATAATTAATGATGATGATAATTGACTAATAATATTGGATATGTGTGATAAATAAAGATAAAAGTCTATTTAACCAGTTACAAATTTGGTTTGTATCCCAAAAAAATTCTAATCTCCCATTGCTATAGCCATAAGCTATAGTAGCTCCAGCTTGCAATCACAAGGGCCCGTACTGTGAGGCTAGAGTGGGTTTAGCGGTCAACGTCCATTCAAATTATGTTTGAAAGTTTTTTGCTTTTGCTAGATCTAGAGAGATATTACAAGTCCTCTGTCTCAAATTTCATCATTGCAACCATTTGATTCATCGATACTATAAAAAAAAGTATCATATTGCTTACATTACTGTTATTGATGGTTTGATTATCTTGAACCACAAAGACCCTACTCAACTCGATAATTCTAATTAAATCAGCCGCATTTACCACTGCTAACTCATAAACCTTATGAAGTCAAGTTGACTGATGATGGTGATCATTTTATGGTGATAAAATACAAAAAAGTTTCAATTAATGAAACATACATTTCAATCTTTATCAAGGCACTCTTTCAAAATTCCAATTGAGATAATATAGTTTTTTTTTTTATTTCTTATTCAGTATTTGATATTTATATTAAAGTTTGATTAATATAAATTCTAATCGTATAACGCCTTGTTTGGAGAAAATGTTCACAACTAAAAAAAATTCACATTCAAAGTTTAATTTTGATACACATCTAATTAAAAAAATATATTATTATATACTGCATCACATCATTTGATGATAATTAAGATAATATCATGAACCTTTGGACCAAAACAAAGCACGTTTTATTGAAAATAACAAAAGTTGAAATTGATGGTCTAACGTGCGCACTATACACATTAATAAGTACCAAACATAGAGGGCCCTTACTCACACATCATAATTCTAATTCTAACAAAAAAAGACATTTTATTCATGGAAGTCACTGTTGCTTTAGAAGTAAATATTGACAGATTCAAAATTTAAAGTTTAAACAATAAATAAATACTAGTAGTACGTTTTGTCGAATTCAGGATTTCTATATTACATGCATTCGCCCTCTGATATAAGAGGCAGGCGAATACAGATTTTAAAGTTTTTTCGTTTTTACAATGAAGTCAAGATAATATATGTGATATTAACCAGGTCCACAATGAAATATTTATAGATATTTATCGAATTTTATTAATACTATAGATCCGCACGGAGGTACAAGTAATTACCGTTTGATCATTATGAATCGACTCATACCATTTATTTTATGATAAGTTTGCAAAATGTTGCTTGTTTGGTTGAGTTTTTCAAAAATTTGATTGGGAGGGATTTTCCAAAAATATATTTGGAACATTCACAGAAGAAGAAAAAACTTGCAGATTTTAATTAATTTTTTTTAAAAAGAGGCAACATTGCTTAAATTTTCAATCATTTGATAGAATATTGTCTAAGTCATGCCTGAAAAATTGTCACCTAAGCTTAGCAATGAAGCAAAGTTTCAAGCAATCATTTCATAAAAACTTACTTGCTTTCAATATTTACATTAAATTATATTGTTGTTATCGATCATATAAATATATATATTAGTTTAGGCAGGGGCGTATCCAAAGGGGATCACTGGGTTCACGTGAACTCATGCTCCCCTCCCGAGATCATATATAATAATGTTATATTTTTTAAAAAATATTGAAATATAGATGTGTGGACCCACACTCGGAGTATTGCGATGATGACTAAGTGCACCTCTCTACGTGAGGTTAGAAATTTGAATTTTATATTTATCTTGTTTTATTTATCTTTCTAAAATTAGATAACACCTCTCTAAGTGGTTATTGGTAGCACTTTTGGCATTTTAATTAATTCATATATATAAGAATTAATTTTGGACCTATAATATTAAAAATTTTAACGGTTTTCAGTAATAAGAACCTAAATATCAAACCGATTAAATTTATGTCTTATATCAACCTTTTTGTAAAGTGCACCCATCATTTCGAAATCTTAAATACGCCTCTGAATTTAGGAGAATTTCAGGTTTTTCCTCAATAAAAACAAATCTGCAGCAATCACTATTTATGCTATCGGTTAGTAATAATTCTCACTTAGCGAATGGATCTCTTTTAATTTGTCCACAACCTAGATATCCCTTCTGATGCGGTGATAGATCTTATGTCTAAACATTGATCGTCTCGAT